AATTATTGAGGACTATGATGAACTTTTATTTATTGGATTATAAAGAATAAAAACAGGGCCAGGAATGTAGCTCAGTAGCACCACGCCTGCCTTGCAAACACAAGGTCCAGAGTTTGATCCCCAGTACCGGGGGAAAAAAAGTAAAAACTGAGAAATTTACTAATATTTATTAATTCATTAAAAGATTTTTATGAAATTATATTTAAATTTTTCAATGAGAAAAGCAGCGCTGTTTCACATTTTTGCAAATTCCTATAAATGTGTAGGTATAAGACACCTAGATGTTTATATCTACTTCTGCCTTTAATCTGTTGCAGTACATTGTTTTGATTGAAGTATATTTTAAAAACTGTCCAATACAGATATTTTGTAGAAAAGGGGAAAATATTTCAATAGCTTTCTCTGGTAATTTTTTATACTAATTTTCATTACTATGTCAAAACTCAAGTGATAGTTTCTTCAAGGTTAGTTACAATGTAGAACGTTTTATTGCTTTGAACACTTGTAAAAGAATAAGCATGAAAAAAGCAAACAGTGTGTAACTGTTATTATGAAAATAGTATTGAAATTATGGGCTGCATGAAGGGGTCTGGGGATCCCACACACAGTGGGTCCCAGACTGCACTTTGAGAATCACTGTTCATCTCAGCAGTCCCTTGCCTTGCTTCGCTTACGGGAGCATGGGGAGGTAGGTAGGGCAGGAGCCGGGGAGGGGAGATGCAGGAGCAGCAGAAGGAAGAAACATGGATTCCAGAGTCCAGTGGGTCTGTCCTGCATCTGTCTTTCCCAACAGTGGACTCGTAGCCAGGGTATTGGCCCAGTCTTGACCCTTGGTATCAAAGTTACGATCTGAATGTACATCACTGAACTCTGTATTGTGTTCTAATGTTCTTAAGCCCCTGGGCCACCTCCCAGCCCTTGGCTGTCTCATAGCATCCCTTCTTTCTTTATTTGCTGCCAGCCCTAGAATTGCCTACCTCCTTCTTCACCTGCCCATTGCTCCCCTGTACTCTTCCTGCCCTGGCCAAGTTTGTCCATTCCTCACCTAAGACAGGAGCCAGAGGCTTTGTTCCTTGATTCCCTCTTCCTGAATTCTTACTCCAGAGCTCAAGCTGCTTCCTCAGAGTCTCTGCTTGTCCCCTAGACCTTTCACATTGCGAGTGCACTCTGTCATTCTCCCAGAACCTTGTCAGTCCATTTGGGTTCTGGTACTTGAGCCACTATTAGGGCCCACCCCAAAATTTGATCTATCACAGTACACCTTTGAGTTATTGCAGCTCGCGAGTTTTGACACGATACATTATGGTAATCCATGGCACACAAAGACATTAACACTTCCAACTTTGACAAAATACATTGTGAAGTCTTTGAAGGTGCCATTACAATTTATCTTGTCATTCAAGAGGAGACCCAGTTCAGCATTAATGTAAATGAACACAGTGTGGCTTTTGTTTCATTTAATTGCTGGTGACCTTTTTAATTGCTAATTTAACAAAATACCAAAGGGTTATATTTCAACTAAATTAATGGTTTAGAGAGTGAGGGGTTTTTTTGTATGTTTATTTTTAAGACATTCTGACTTTCTCTGCCTTTCACTTTGAGAAGATAAAAATGTCTTCTCTTGAACAGAAGTAGACTTTTTAATTTGAAGTTCATAGTACAGTAATAATTTTAATATGCAAATGGTACAGTGCCAAGCATCTTTTGTGCGCGACTGGGTTCACCCTTTGCCAGAAGTATACAAATAGTGAAAGTGTACACAACAAGTCACAGAACTTTTCTGGTTCAAAAAGCATGCTTTTGATATAATGCTTTACTTCAAGTGTTTGTTTTTAGATTAAGTGCCTATTGCATGCACCATTTATTGGGTACTTCTCTCTCCCTTGTACTGTTTTCTTTGTGCTCTGTAGCTAGTTTGTAATCTCCCGAGGATCAGGAACCCTGCCCCGTCCTCACCAGTACCTTCCTACAGTCTAGCATACTGCTCGCATGGGGAGACGTGGTCGCAAGTCACATGCGCACAGACATACTCCAGGCAGCAGCACTCCTGGACCTACTTCAAGAAATGGCCCTGGACCTCAAAGGCCAGCAGTATTTCATTCAGCAGATAACCTACTTTGGAGTGGGCAGCGTAAGCTGGATGCACGAACAGGACTGTTCCTGCCCTACTCCTCCAGGTGCTGTTGCCCTTCTGATCATAAAAGCAGACACGCCCCTTGTCAGCGGGAGCAAGGCTCAGAACTCACCCCAGTATCTGGGGACTTAAATCCTCAAATGGGATATGAATTTACACTGGCAGAGAGTAGAAGGTCAGTGCATGAAGCATTAGTGTGTTGAGCCAGCTCCAGCTATATAAGTCTTGAACAAAATTAATACAAGAAAATTGACAAGGCTTGCTGGTTATTCCATAGCTTTAAGACCTCTACTAAAATCCTATCATCTCATCTGCCCATTATTAACATTTCAGCAAAATATAAAGTTTTCATTAATCTCCCACAGCAAATTTAGGAGTGAAAACTGGCACTGGTTTGAGCTTTTAGGACTACATTAGCTGGTGTATTAAACAAAATATGTCATTCTTCAGTAGCTTCTGTAAGAAGCTAAATCAATTTCTAGCCATATTTATGCACCACTTTATCTAAAAGCATCTGAATTATCATTTACAGCTAAGATGCTTTATTAGCAGCTGGCATGCATTGAAATTGCTCAGTAAAAAATTATATGTCACGTTATAGTAATTTTTAAATTGGTTTTAATCCAACATCATAAAATGTAAAAATCTTAAGTGTGGGGTTTTTTTGTAGTAATTGGCATTTTAGCATAATGAGCTGTTACCTCTTTCCAAATCAAATACCTGCAATATTTTAAAAAGACTAATTAGTAAAGAAAACAGAAGTCTGGAGCTTGTAGCTAAGCTATATCTTATAATAGCATTTTTCCAGATTTTAAATGACTTGTAAAACATTAAACAATTTTAATATTTTACTAAAACTCCCTATAATTTTCATGTATAAAAATTCTAACAGTAAACATTTTGGGAGTTATGTTTCAGTGCAAATGTAGGTTGGAGAAAGTGAATGATTGTTCTAAATTCTAGCTGCTAACCAGCCTCTCACTTCAGATATGTACATTACTCAGAAGGCAGTGGTGACTATTACCATGGCGCCTCTGTCCAAAATCATAGGTGTTGCCAAGAATGGAAATGAGTTGCCCAGTGGTCCTTTCGGACACTGTGTCCCAGCAGCGTGATGTTGGTTAAGTCACTTGGCCTACCTGATCCCTTCCTTTGGGCATGGCACCTGGTATTCATCCAGTGCATCTATTGAGCGCTTGCTTTCTCCTCTCCACAGTAGTCCTGGTAGGGTCTGGGCTACAGTGGTAAATGAAACAGTCACTCTGCCAACCTTTTGGGAGTTTTCAGTCTAGTGGCAGAGACTAATAATTACTGCCTGTTCTAACTGTTCTGAAAGAAGATGCAGGGCACAGTAGCAGAAGGAGCTGAACCACACTTGTGGGCCTGGGGTCAGGAAGGATGCCCTGGACCATCACTTGAGCTGAGCTCTTCAAGAGAAATAAGGAGGTGATGAGGAGGGACCGAAATGGGGAGGAAGGTGACCCGAGCAGAGAGGACAGCATGTACAAGACACTCTCAGGGGGGACTCTGTCGGAGGCATCCCACTTCCTTACCAAGGAGAAAGCCTTATTGTAGGTGCTAAAATTGAGTTAGAAATAACTACAGTGTTTGGAAACAGAATACATAATTCCTAATAAATACATTCATTGTGAAAGCATCAGAAACCAACTTCCCTGTGTGTGTCTGTGTGTTGCCAGGATTGAACCTAGGGCCTTGCGCAGGCTAGACAAGTACACTGCCACTGAGCTACACCCCCAACCCTAGGGGACAACTTCATAAAAAGTTTGCCCTATGGGCAGTGATTGTGAGAAGTAAACATGTGTAATTGTCAGGCTGCCCATTACATAACAGAATTTTCCAGTTTGATACCCAGTTCTTGTTTTTCATCCCCCGCCCCTCTACCCTGAAGAGCTCTAAGTTACTCTGTGGAGCCGTCTTCAGGTGCTCAACACAAGGCTGGGGTCCCTGCTCTGGCCTCTCTGCTAGACAGGCGTTCCCTCATCCCACCTGGCACCAGCAGTTCCACCTTCAGAAATCCACATTTCAGACTCTGCGGACCAAGAGATAGTTTGTCTTTGCTTCGTGTGACCTTGGGCATGTGACTTAGCTGCCCAAAGCCTCAGAAAGGCTTGACTGAAGAGAAGAAAAAAAAAAAAAAAGTGTTTCAGGAAGCCCTGGGAAGCCAGAGAAAGCTTATGAGCATCAGTCTTCCTGTTTGTCTCCCATGTCACATGCTAGAGTACTCAGCATGTATGAGGCTCTCACTCACCCTTTGGCGAGTGAATGAATGATCAAACCTTTGGAAAGATGAATCAGAAGGTCTTGTGGTGGCTGGGTTGCAGAGGAAGCCTGGCAGTAGAAGGCCAGTGAGGTGACTGGCACAGACATGCAAGTGCCAGCAGGCTCCCACACACCGACCAGTGGAGGCTGTGGGTACAGGGTAGAAAGCTACTAAACAGGCGGCTTGGGACAGGGCTTCTTCAAGGAGCAGAGATTACTTCTGTGATCAGGAAAATCACATTTAGCAAACCAAGTGTGATCACCCATGTTCTTGTGATTTAGACATGCCCTTATGCAGACCAAGCTCCTTGCTGAGAGCAAGCAGAGATATTTCTGTCCTCCTCTCCCTACTGCCCAGCCAAGGGCCTGTCATAGAATAGGCAGTGTTTGTGGAATTAATTGTTGAATGATTAATATGTTACCATTCTCTGTTTACTGGAATGGCATTATTAAGTCATCGCTCAGCCTTTTCTTCTCCGAATTAAATAGCCCATATTATTTTAATTTATCCCAAAGCATTTTAAGCAGACACCATTTGCCAAGCCTCATGTATCTTTATGTGTTAAAGTGCTTTTTTCCTCCTCAGGTTCAAGGGCAGATGGAATTTTTGAGGAGGATTCACAAATTGACATAGCTACAGTACAGGATATGCTCAGCAGCCACCATTACAAGTCATTCAAAGTCAGCATGATCCACAGACTCCGCTTCACAACCGATGTGCAGTTAGGTGAGTGCATAAACAGGCAACAAGCTAAACTCTGTCTATTAGTAGTGCAGAAATAAGGAAAGAAATGGCATACTACTTCTGTGTGACCTGAATGACTGGTGATAATCTGTTTTCTGAGAGAAAGTTTAAACAGTGAAATTTAAAGAACATCCTTTTTCCCACCTGAGTGCTCTGTCTTGTCTTCTTGTTTATGAAGCAGAAGATTGGAGATAGAACCAACGTGGGCCTCTTTTCAAACTGATAGGCTTCTATGAGGCTCTGTGATGCCTGCCATCCTGTGATTTCCTCACGTGGCCTCCTGAGCACAGCTGTGTACTCCTGCTCCCCTGCCCTGCCCAGCCCAGGGCACACAAATGCTGATCATTCAGGAAGCTGCTTAAGGGCCCAGAGGTTTTGTTTGGAGCCTCACTACATAACCTGAAACTAACTTTCAACTGATAGTTGGGGTTAAGTTGCTCCAATTAAATGCTAAACTTCTATTTTGACTTAAACCCAACTGGAGTAGAAAAAATAGTCAACATAATATTATTAGGTCATCATCATCATCATGGCAACCTTTTCAAGATATCCACCTGTTTTAATCTCTGTGCTGAGTGCTTGATGCATAGTGCTTAACTTTTTAAAAGGAGGGTATTTTTACCATCCCCACCTGACAGAGAAGGTAACTGAGGTGCAGAGAGACAGTCCTGGGCCCAACTTATACAGGGGCTGGTGGCGGTGTCTGAGGCAGAACCCTTGTCTGAGTTACCTGCTCCCTAGCAAAGGTCTCCACGTGGAGGAGGAGCAGGCAGGGTGCTGGGCTCAGTCAAGGACCTGAATTGGACCCTGGTCTGCCATACTGACCCTTACCAGTCTTGTTTACCTCTGGCATAAAGGAGGATCTTTGAATTCTAACTCTAGGGCTCACTAATTCTGTTTCTCACAAATGCTTTGTGTGTTTGTTTTTTGTTTCTGTTTTTGTTTTTTTTGAACCAGGGGTCGAACTCGGGACCTTGCACTTTTGAGGCAGGCAGCAGATCCGCTGAGCTAAATCCCCAGCCCAATGCTTTGTGTTTTGTAGTAAAACCTTTTCTGGTGTTGACATTAGTCTGAACCTGGCTAACATGTACAATGCCTAACAAAAGTCCTCGAATATTCCTTCCCAAAGTGATTGACAGGAACTTGCAATACTCAGTATATAAAGAGGGGCAAAACGAACCTCAACTGGCATAAACTGAGTTCTGTCAATAACTAGCCGCATAACCCTCAAGCAAGGGTCTTCATCTTTCTGAGTCTTGTTTCTATCCTCTTTAGATGAGAATATCAGTAATGCCAGCTTCTGAAGATTGCTGTTGGAAACAAGTATGAAACTGCATGTAAAGTGTTTGGCTCCAGCCTGGTGGTTGGTAGCAGAAACACGAGCTGTTAGTTGAAGCCAGGCGTGGAGGCACATGCCTGTAACCCTAGCCTTCGGGAGGCTGAGGCAGGAGGATCACTGTGAGATCAAGGCCAGCCTGGGCTACATAGTGGGACCTCATCTCAAAAAAAAAACCCTAGACATAACGATGTGTAAGGAGTAATGAGAATGGCTTTCCTGGCAGGAGAGAAGCACCCATGCTGGAGGGAGGCTGTTAAAGGCCTGTTTCTTGATCTTGGCGCTGGTTATGAGGCTTGTAGACCTTGTAGAAAATTGTGCTGTATAGACTCTTGATTTGTGTGCATTCTGAATTAAAAGTTTCCTAAAATGGGCCGGGGATTTAGCTCAGTGGTTTTGTCACCTGCTGCACAAACGCAAGGACCCGAGTTTGATCCCCGGTACCAAAAAAAAGTTTACTAGGGCTGGAGATTTAGCTCAGTGGTTTCGCTGCCTGCTGTGCAAGCACAAGGAACTGAGTTCAATCCCTGGTACCAAAAAAAAAAGTTTACTAAAATAAGAATGTTTCTCAGAGCTTAGACATCCATTTTGTATTTGGCTGCAGTACTGGCCCAGAAGCAAGGGGTCTGCTTTTTTCTGAGTGGGCCTCCTTGTAAGGAGTCCATTGTGTAGCCTGTAGGCAAGACGGGGATCCCAGGCAGGCACGTTGTCTGGTGAGCATAATCCGCAAATTTGCCCTGCTCCTCCACAGTGTGAAGAGCAATGCCAGCCCAGGAGTGAATGCCAAGACCCTGGGCTTCTCCCCAATTTTTTTCTGAAGGCAAAAACACAAACTTTAATTTACCAGATTCTAACTTCATTCCAAGGAAAAAGTCCCCAAAAGAATCTGGGAGGGAGTCAGGCTCTGTAGTCAGTCAGCTCTGGGTTCAAATCCCAGCTTTACACTTACCTGTAGTGTTTTGCCATCTATAGAATAAGGATCACAGTGTTTACTTTTTAAAATACTGTAGTAGGAAAGTGCCTGGCCTTAGTAGTATTGTCATTGTCATTATCATTCATCTTGCCACTGGCTGTGTCCTACACCCCTTCCTCTTTACAAGTGTTTGAGCCCAGGGCCTTCACACTGAACTATCTCAGGCCTTTTTTTCTATTCTTTTTCTCTTTTCTTGCCCAGGCTGGAGTCAAACTTGTAATCCTCCTGCTCTGCATCCTCCCAGCTAGTCTCCTTTCTTGTAGGTATTGAACCAAGTGACCCAGATTAGGTGTGGCAACAGTGAAGACCTTTGGGTAGAAAGCGATGATGTCAGTGATGCAGGAGTCTCTCCCCAGTTCTCTGAGGCTGATCCAGTTGCAGGGCCTTTGGTTACTTCCAGTGACAGAAATGGCGCCCTCTAGTGGAGAGTCAAGCTCTGGGGAGCTTCTAAACAGATTCTCAGTTCTTTTTTTTTTTTTTTTCTTTTTTTTTTGGTACTGGGGATCGAACTCAGGTCCTTGCAGTTGCGCAGCAGGCAGCGAAACCACTGAGCTAAATCCCCGGCCCTCAGTTCATTTTTTAAATCTAATGAATTTTATGACCATCAGAGTAAGCTGGTTTCCCATATAGATTCAGTCAGGTACACAGTGTCAGACTCTCTCCCTAGTTACGAAGCGCATGACAGCCCCCTTCATTCTCACAACAGTGACAAACACCCGCACACAGCAGTCCACAAAGTCTTTCCTTCCGGTCTACCACAGAGTTCAGGGCAGCAAATGATATGTCCCCTATGAACATCAAGTGAGCAGCTGGATTCTGAGACCGGTAAATAATTTATTTTATTTCACCTGACTAGCCAGGTGCTTCAGATCTTCCCTGACACTGATGGATGGCCTTCCCTGCCCATCCATCCTGTGTCAGAGCGGAGATTTCCCATGGCTCCTATGGCAAGTCCTTCCAAGTGAGTGTCCGTGCACAGCATTCCCCACTTCCCTGCTGATTCCTCAAAAGCCGCTGTCCACACTGAATCGTGGTCTGTCCGAGCACACAGCAGCAGATGGGAAGACCTGGGCTGCACATTGCTGCTCAGCTGCTCAGCTGCTTGTCTTCTGGTGGGGCAGGATGGGCTGGGACTCCAATTTTACCACCTGCCACTTGTCCCTAAGGAAGGAGATGAGACTCAAAACTTTGATCTATAAGACCCCAATTTAAAGTAATTTTCTCCTACTCTATGATTGAAAAACTGATTCTATTAATGAAACCTGTGTCAAAGATCCGATCTTTTCAAGTGGTTCTACTATTTAACAAAAAACATTATGAAGTGGTGGTGTGCACCAGGTTGCTTTACTCTCTTTACATGCAGTGGCACTTGAAATCACAGCACTGTTATTAGATAGTACGGACATATTCATTTTTTATATGAGGAAGTGTGAGTGTGAGGGAAAATCTAGTAAAATGAGTTGTGAGCCTGACTATGTGCATTAGATAAAAATCACCATTGTGCTAATATTCTGTAGTTCTGTGGCATTTTGCAGTATACAGACAGATTTCCTCCCTCAATCCACATAGCACATCAATATTGTAGTTCCGTGTCATGACTGAGAAAACTTGAAGGAGTTAATGAAGTAATGTGACATATGTAACGTAGTTAGTGTTTCCTGGCACATGGCTATTGTTGAATGGACTGAGTCTCTTGTCCTCCCCTTCTGCCATCAGGATATGTCATGGGATATCCAGTCCCAGTAGCAGAGCTGGAACAGAAACCCAGTCCCCTGCATCAAACCCAGTCCATCACACTGGAAGTACCTCAGCCGTTCACAACTTGGCCTTTACAAAGGAAGTGATTCCTGCTATCTGGCTGGTTCCCAAACTCTTGCACATCCTTCGCTCCTCTCCTCCCTAGCTCTGGAGAGGGTCACTATCCTCCACTCCCTTTAGACATTGTGAATCAGTCATTGCACTTCTTCCTGCTAGGCGCAGACCTAATCTCAAAGTCCTTTCCTATACAGTCCCCTAAACAACCCCTACTGGTCACTTGAATGCAGTTTGGTTTTTAAATTGAAATTTATTTGCCATCCTGTTCTACCAGCCTGGAAAGCTTACCAGATAAAGCTATCACTCCTAACCATTTTTAAATTTAATTTCTAAAATATTCTTGAAATATTCCATCTTATCTAATTCCTCAGGTTGGACCTAAAAATGTTGATGCCCTTTAAATGTAGACCTTGCCTGAGCTTATACCAAGTTGAGGTTATTTACATTAAGTTGGGCTCACGTGTGCCTTACCAACTGGGGGAGGTTGGGCACTAAGACAGGGGTGCTACCCACACATGCCATGGCTGGTAGGGGGGAGTAAGTTTGGGGAACACTGAAATTAACAGTCAGATGTTGAGTGCCAGCCATGATTGGGAACCCTATAGTGTACTATCAGTATTTGTTGGCTGACTGGCAGGAGCTGAATTATGATGCACCAGGCTTTGATGGTTGTACTACTTGCACTCTCTTCTTTTGCTTTAACATTTGTCATTCCCATGTTACAAAAAAGATGGTACTGAATACATGACATGCCATGAAGTCCATGTGGCATAATTGTGTATATAACCTAACACAATTCTGCATAGGATATACTGATTCTACACAGGGCTTGCAGATAAAGGATATAAAATAATCTCA